AAGGAGGGCATCCCCCCGGACCAACAAAGACTAATCTTTGCCGGGAAGCAACTGGAGGACGGTCGCACCCTTGCTGATTATAACATTCAGAAGGAGTCGACCCTGCACCTTGTCTTGCGTCTTCGTGGTGGTATGCAGATTTTCGTCAAGACGTTGACCGGGAAAACCATTACCCTGGAGGTTGAGAGTTCGGACACCATAGACAATGTAAAGGCTAAGATCCAAGACAAAGAGGGAATCCCACCAGACCAGCAGAGGCTGATCTTCGCCGGAAAGCAGCTGGAGGACGGTAGGACTCTGGCCGACTATAACATCCAGAAGGAGTCTACCTTGCACTTGGTGCTTCGTCTCAGGGGAGGGATGCAAATCTTTGTGAAAACCTTGACTGGGAAGACCATCACTCTGGAGGTGGAGAGCTCCGACACCATTGACAATGTGAAAGCCAAAATTCAGGACAAGGAGGGTATTCCTCCGGATCAGCAAAGGCTGATTTTCGCAGGGAAGCAGCTGGAGGATGGAAGGACTCTCGCTGATTACAATATTCAGAAGGAGTCCACTCTTCACCTTGTCCTGCGTCTCCGTGGTGGTTTTTAGATGGTCTGGTCAAAATTGCGTTCTCTGTTCTTCTTGTATGCTTTCTGAATTTATTATAGTTGTCTGAAGACTTTGTACTCCAAAAGTGGCCTTTGGCCTTGCTTGCTTCCTAATAAAATTGGTTTCTTCTCTAAACTAAACGTGCAGTTCGTTTGTGGACTTCTAACTCTCTTGTTTTCAATGAAATGAACATCGGAATGTTGCACATTACATGATGATATGTATATTCACGGAGTTAGATCAATGATTTTCAGTTTCTTGTGTTCTCGCATGACACTAGAATGGCTTTCACGTGGGCAGTTTTCGTGCTATGGTTTATTCTGCTGTTCTGATTCTTATATCGTAGATGATAATCGATTTTCTTGCTTTGGTTGCTGAAATCCCTAAAACATTAGAACTGACCACTTCATGCTATGTATTTTATTTTTTCTGAAGACCGTAACTATTGTCAAATTCCTGGGATTAAGTGTGATCGGAACGAAATTTGATGTTACGGCTTGGAATTATTTTGTCGTCAAAAAAACTAAAAATAAAATTTCTGTCATATTTTCTAACAAATTTGGAACAAATCTGTCAACCTAAATCTTGATAGTTTTAGAATCCGAGTCGATTTGGGTTAATCCCATCCACATTAGTTGGTGTGTTGTAGTTTTGAATGAATAAATACACATTTATTTCTTCACAAATTACAACCTTGCGACCACAACTGCTGATTCTTCAACTTCAATTGATTTGGACAAAATCTTTTATAACACATGGAAACATATGGTAGGGATTCGATATATGCCTTACTGAAATTTCATTTAAAATTAATGGGAATAAATATTAATGATGAAACAGCCATTTAAATACTGAATTATAAAATAATGATTTTTATGTATCATCAAACTCTCGTAGCTCAGTTGGTTAGAGCACCCATTTAGTAAGCGGGAGGTCTGTTTAACTCTCAACGAGAGCAAATTTATTCATTTTTAAACAAGAAATAATTTTGGGTACTTTCAATATGATCTCATTTTAAAAGGTAGATGCATGTTCCATAATCAAATCGCATTTTCCCTTATATTTCCAAAACATTTTAAACAGAAGAATAAGGAGAAAATAAAGACCGTCCTAAATGGTATGCTAAATGATTAGTTTAGTATATGAATTCTTTAAGTTTGTCTAATGCTTAATTATCAGTTTAGTATATGAATTCTCAAGTTTATATCTAATGAGTTCTTAAATATCTAATTAGTCTCTAAATTTCTATTTTTTTGTATATTATAGGTGAAATTCGTGAATTTTGAAAATTCATTGTCAAACAGGTTTCTAACATAAATTTTTAAAATTATAGATTATTTACACAAAATTGAATTTTGTGCGACTCTAAAACTTTTGAAGTCTTATAGATCCATGAATTTTAAAAAATAGACACAGACACATAATTTAAAATTCTAGGACTTCGACACTTTAAATTTACATATTAGACACCAAAAATTTATTAAACACGAACTTGAAAGTTCATGAGATAAACTTGTAATTTAACCTAAAAACAATGGCTAAAACTTCTATCAATAACCATTTTAAAATTTAGGCTCTTCATCGCTCGTAGACTAGCAGGAAAATGTGCAGAATTGAAGGGTGCACCCCAAACAAAACCCTACGAAGTGTTCAAGCAGTTCAGGTCTATATATTTACCAGTGCATAAAAAGCTCTCAACTATATCTAACTGTCAAATAATCCTTAACTCATGAAGAGAGAATTCGCCATCTAAAAAGGATGCGACAGCCACTAATTTTTATTCAAGAAAAGAATTCAAGAACAATCGCATCAGGTGAAAAGTTAGGGCATAACTGTCTTGACCAGAAGAAATGAAAAAAGAAGTTTATACTACACAATTTCCATAAAACAAACAAATATTAATTCAGAGTTGAATTACACGTCAAAGTCGGAAAGGGATATAGGAGGAGCTATCAAGTCATTTGCTATAGATTGATGCCAGAAAGAAAAATCCATCAGGATCAAAGTACATGTTATTAGCCCTTGATAATGGAAGTTACAAGTTGAATATCAATTCCGGCCTCTAATTACACATTGCTCTGTTTATAAAACTTGGTGTCAATTACTTGCTTCCCGCACATGGCGCAAACCCCTGCCAAGCGTCAAACAATGATTTAGCATGTTGTCGCATTGAAATGTAGTGATCTGTATGCAGATATCAGAACAAACAAAAATTTCCATTCGTAATTCATACCCTTGCTGTAAGCACATGTGTGACAATACTTGGCATCCTGGTGTACTTGCTGCTTACAAATTATGCACTTAGTATTTCCATAAGGAGTCCATCTACAGGCAACAACATTCAGAATTCAGAACGATGACTGGACTTGCAAACCTTTACTTATGATGCAGTCAAATTGGAACTTTGTTATTGGCAAACAAAACTTTGTAAAATGCAGGACACTTCAATGAATTATCTACTAGATGGTGTTGTACTTGGAACTCAATGAAAGAACCAGTGGAGATATCGATTGATCGGTTTGACATCAAAGATCAACTAGTCATTCGTATGCTAAGGATGGTAGTATCATATATCTAAGTTACTCTCCTTGCTACAAGATCTCACTCAATTAGGAAGTATAATGTGTACACATTACATAATATCCACTGATTGGTTTGATATCAAAGATCGATTAATCATTCATATGCTGAGGATGATAGTATCATATTTCTAGGCTAATCTCCTTGATACAAGATCCCATTCAATTAGGAAGTATAATGAGTACAAATTACTGCTCCCATACATTAGTAAAGATCCAAGTACTTTTAAAATCACAAGAATGAATATCCACTTAGTCTCTTAATTGAAGCCAGAGTACATTAACTTCGTGGTGTAAACCCTAATTCATAAGTCTAGAGATGCTTAATTTCTTTCTCGCATAAAATTGAACCAGAACAATAAAGAACGAGCATGAATCAGCGGAGGAAGAGAAGCCCTAGATCTTGGAAAGAAAGAATCAATTAATTGGTAAACTCATGCGCAAGAAAGAATAGAAAAGAACAAACCTTTTCTTCTTCGACAGGAGCTTGTTCTCGTTAATTTTACGACCACCGCTTTCATGTGTGTTGCTTGCACCTTCTTTCCACTTGTCCGGCACAATTACCTTTGCCAGCTTCTTTTCACCTACATCCACAACTCCCAACAACTCAGTAAAATAAAACAAATCAAAAGAACCCACGATATAACAGCGAGAGTTCTTGATTATAGTCATTGTAAATTGGGAAGAACTAGTGATGCAAGAGGATGGAGAAAAGCTTACACTTCTCGCAGACCATCGTTATTCTCAACTGATCGGTCAGGCGATACTGAAATTGAATGCACCAATTAAAATAATCGGAGCCCTAATTGGAGATCTATGGAGGGATTTGGGGTTTCCTTTTTTCCGTCTTTGAGAAGAAACGCGAAGAAGCGCCCGGAGGAGAAGGGGATTTGCGATTCCACCAACGTTTTCTTCAGAATTGTAAGAGATAATTGGAGTCTCGCTTTTCAGTATAATTGCAAATTATACGAACGCCATTTATTTATTTTATGGAGTGAGAAAAATTCCTTCTTGTTTTTTATTTCTTTAAATAAGCGAATCATATTTGTTTAGTGTATTTTTTATTTTAACAGATCATTTCAATATTAACGTAAAAAAAAAAAAAACCTTAAACTTTGACAAGGTATATCAATTTCACTTATTGCAACTTAAACTTAGATCAAATTTCACTTTAAATTCTTTAAGATGTCGTAACTTTTACCTTTTTAAAATTTTGTTGAAATATATTCTTATATTTGTCTAACAAATTATAAAACAAAAATACATGAGAGAAGATTTATTTTTATTGAAATTTATTAATAGTCAAATTTGTGCATTAATCAAACTTAATTTTGTACAAATTTTGATTTTCATTAAATTAATTAGTAGGTTAATTTTCTTCAAACAAAAAAAAGTAGGCTAATTAACGACAATTGAACGTAAGATAAAAAAAAATTATGATTTTTCCAAACTTTAGACACTAAAATAACTAAAATTTTAAAAGTCAATAGAATTATTATTAAAATGTTTCAAGAAATATCGTAACAGAAAAACAATTGGTAAAAAGTATTTAACTTAAAAAATAATCATTTAACTCTTTCTAAGTAAGCAAAGATGGATTAATATTAATGTTTATATTAGTTATATTTTATTTATACTTTTTACAATTTCATAAAAATATCGCCTCATCGGAATGTAATGAAAATGCGGAATTTTAATAACTTGATTAAAATGAAATTTAACCAGATTATATATTTGAAAAAAAGGTTAAATTTGGAATGACACGACAAAACGTCGTCGTTTAGTTTAGGAGTGTACTCCCTATTGGTGCAAAGAGAAAGAGCTGAAAAATCAAAAGTCAAGAGTCGTCGCCGAACCCGAACCCAAACCCAAACCCGAACGTATTCTATTTCTCAATTTTTTGCCCAGCGCTGCGACTGCAACTGCAGCAAACCCCATCTCTCGCTTCGACCACCACGAAAATGG